GAAGGGGGGGGGGGGGGGGTTCAAATTCCCGAACCCGGCACCAAATTCAAGCGAATAGTTTAGGACCAAATGATTATTCCCCCTCAGCAACAGCCATTTGACGGAAAATAGAAACCGAAACATTTCAAATGTTCAAATGGACAGCCTTATCCAAAGTGAAAACAAATGCAAACAGGCGATTCTTCATCGCGATTCAAACCATTTCACACAAATCTCACATCGCAGGAACCCTTATGATCAGATCTATTCACATCATCAGATAAAATCAACAGCGTATTCGATGAAAATCAAAAGCACACAAAATCCATAAGGACAGATAGGCGAAAACGAAGGAGATAGACGATATACTCACCGACATGGCGAAGAATCGTAGACGCGGATTGGACGGAAGCTGATTTCTTTTATAAATGTTTGAAATTTTGAAACGAAAAATCAAACCAGAGTCTTTCGCCGCGGATTTGCAGAGATAAGGAAAAACATGGACACCTTGAAATAGAGAAGAAGCCAAGATATATGATACGATGTCTGAAAGTATGAATCTTGACAAATGATTCGTACACCAGATAATTACACTTAATTAATTTAATTAACCCCCTTGCTATCGATGAGCACACAACGTGATATAATCACATCTTCAACCAATCAAGGAAAGCCACGTGTCCTAAGCCGAGCACCGTCCCGCCAGAAGAACAACTTGCTCTCAGGTGAGATACACGCGCTTCAGCTATTACGAAAACAGCATAGAACTTCTAAAGATCTCGATGTCAATGTGAATATAATAAATGTTTTGAATTTATATTTTTAGCCTAACATTTTAAAAAGGTGTATTGTAATGCTCGCAGACTTGAATCCCAAGGGAGGATATATCTGTTGCATTTCAAACAATCGATTTAATTTGGTATTTTTTAGAAAATAAAGGGAGCAAATGAAATAAATGGTATCAGAAGGAAAATATTCAAAGAAAAGGGGGTTCTCTCAGATTTCCAAACAGCTCATCACGCAATTCAATCTCTCTCCCCCCCGCGATTCACGCCTTGTTTGAAGTTTTTCTCAATCATCGGAAAAATCCCGGCAATTGGGAAATCCGTATCCCCCTCTTTCTTTGTTAGCGTAAGCCGAATTTCGATTTTCCACCTCTTTCCCGGGGAATAGAGGAGGAGAATCTGTTATCTTTTTTGTATCTGGGTGATCTTTCCGAGAAAGTTCGAGGATTTCGAAGGAAAGAGAATCCGAGGGAAAAGAGGAAGATGAGTTTTCAGGATTTGGAGGCAGGAAGGCCGTTGGCTTCGTCAAGGATCAATAAAGGTCGACAGGATGCGACTCAGGCCGTCGCCTCCGGCATTTTTCAGATCAATACCTCCGTCTCGTCCTTTCAGCGTCTCGTCAATACCCTCGGTACTCCTAAGGACACGCCCGAGCTCCGGGAGAAGCTGTAAGTTCGTGTCTTTAATTTGTTGGAATTCTGAGATGTTTAGGGTTCACTGTGGTGAAAATGATCCATTTTTTGTTGGAATTGAGTAGCTGCCAATGTTTTGTATGGCCTCCGAATCCGAAACTGTTCTGGGCCTATATGAGTTTTTGTTGTTACTTTGGAATTGCCTGGTAACTGGTTAGAGGATTAAAGCATGAAAATTTGTGTCTGGAAATGTGATTTTTCCTTGACAATCATCTGTTTATGGTTTCTTGTATTCTTTAACATTGTTCTGTGTCTCTCTTATCTTCAAATTGAATCTTTTGAAGTGTCAGGAAGTTGACTCTTTTTAGCATTTTCATAGTTCCTAGTGATCCTATAGGGGAATTGTGTTACTTGGGCAGGCACAAGGCGAGGCTGCACATTGGACAGCTCGTGAAGGACACCTCAGCTAAACTTCGAGAAGCCAGTGAAACAGATCATCGAGCTGGTGTGAACGTGAGTTTCTGCCTTAACAATTTCTTGCTTTTTTTTTTTTTTTTGGTGGGGTAAGAACAAGGAGGAAGTTTCTTGTTCAGTTTCCATGATTTTCATGTTTGCATGATGAACTTGTTGTTGATGATTGTTCATTGATGTCCTGCAGCCAAATAAGAAGATTGCGGATGCGAAGCTTGCAAAGGACTTTCAAGCAGTTCTGAAAGAGTTCCAGAAGGCCCAGCGTCTTGCAGCTGAAAGGGAAACTGCATATACTCCTTTTGTGCCTCAAGCAGTCCTTCCGTCCAGGTAAATGATCACCTAGAAGTCAGAGACTGTTTATGTTGTCTTGATCTTATCTACTGGAATAAATAAAACGGAAATATAAATTTATAAACTCGATGATCTGGGTTTTTCTTTGGATATCTATGTGAGAGTGTCACTCGCAAAGTCATCCTGGTTACTTAATGCAAACTGTGACAGCCAAATATTATCCTTCTTGACATATGGTCCTAATGTCATCAAGTTTTGGGTTGGTGTACAGTTACACAGCTGGCGAGGTAGACGTGATTTCAGATAAGACTCCAGAGCAACGTGCGCTTCTTGTGGAATCAAGAAGGTGAGATCTTCGATGAATCCAATCTTATGGCACGTTTCTTCCATTTCGTATGTCATGAAATATATATGGAGAGTTCTTATGGTGCAAGTGCTTGGATCGTGATCTATTCAGATAATGATTGATCTCTCACTTGTTTCACGATCACAGACAGGAAGTCTTACTGCTGGACAACGAGATTGCATTCAACGAGGCTGTAATTGAGGAGAGAGAGCAGGGCATACAAGAGATCCAGCAGCAGATAGGTGAGGTGAACGAAATCTTTAAAGACCTAGCGGTGCTAGTTCATGATCAAGGAGCCATGATCGGTAAGTCATCTAATCCTGTCATGAAGATTCAGTTCTCATCCTCACTTAGATCATGTCCTCATCGGTGCCCATTCCGCAGATGATATAGGGACACACATCGAGAACTCGCATGCTGCTGCAGCACAAGGGAAATCCCATCTCGCAAAAGCCTCAAAAACGCAAAGATCAAATTCATCTCTGGTAAAAACAAAAAAAAAACTCAAGCTTTTCCTGCCTTAAACACCAACCAGTGTAGGAACTGTTAGATCATCAGGCATCAAAACTGACTCCGTTGTTTTTTCCATGCAGACATGCTTGCTGCTGGTGATATTCGGTATCGTACTCCTGATTGTGATCATAGTGCTGGCCGCTTGATTGGTAGAGACGAGATGAGTGCAAAAGAGTTGACGGGTGTTTGTTCACTACCCCCAAAGAACATCAATGAAGCAAATCTCGTTGGTATGTTCTTGCTTTGAGCGTGTGCTTTCATGGCTATCTTTCCTTTTTCTGCCTGTTGGGTTTTGGTTTGTGTTCTGCTACTGAGTGAGTGTATATCTATATATATATATATATAAAGATGTGTGGTATCTCATGGAAAGAGACTAAACGTCAAGTTTTGGTTTTGGTGTCTGTGTCGGAGTATTATTGTTTTTGTGTAATTCTTTTTTTTTTCTTCGTTTTAAGACTTGGGAGTGGATGAGACAGAGAGAGTTGTCAAGCATCTCTTGCGTTGTGATGTTCCCCTCTCAATCTTATGCGATTGGTTCACTCCACGGTTTCCAAAACCGAACCTAACCGGTTCCGATCGGTTTAATATGGCCAGATGTGAGATGCTGAGGTGATCAGTTCTCTTAATAATTGGTTCAATCCAAACCGAATTACACAATCGCATCAATATAAAAGAGCTGAATAAAATTTTACTAATGAAAAAGAACAGCTTGCAAAGCCCTTCTCATTTTTGGGACATTTTACCTTTCATTTTTTTTTCACATTTCAGTTTAGATGACCTAATAATCTGCCTGCCAAAGTTATAATATTGTTATAAGACAATCATAATAGGTGTTAATATTATGTCCTTTGGGTTCTCATTTGGGCTTCGGGAATTTTGGCGGCAAAAGCATTGGAGAAGAAAGCGAGGGAAGGAGATGAGCTCTTCGCCGGAGACTCAGGCAGAGGCGCCGGACCTCGTCTGCCAGCTCGACAACGTCCAGGGCATGGTCGACGCCCTCTCCTGCGTTCGCTGGAAACGCCACCAGGTCCCCCTCTTGCCCGCCATCTAGGGTTTTTGTACCTCCCTCGAAAATCTCACTTCTCCTCGATTCTCCATCTTCCTCTCAAATCCTCTGTTCCCAGGACGCTTTAGTCGAGTTGTCGGAGCACGGTATTGTCCTTATCGTGGAGGAATCAGGCTGTCTTCAGGCCAAGGTTTATCTTCAGCGCGAGGTACCCATCTGGGTTTTCGTTTCTGTGATCCGTTTGGCTGCCGAGAAAATGCGCAAACAATTTGGTCTGGATTTGACGTTTGACATTGTGTGGAAAGCTCTTTGTGAAATACGAGTACGGAGCTCAAGGGAGGCCGAGGTTTGGAATCAGTTTAGGGCTTCTCGTGGATTGCTTGAACACATTCTCAATTCCTGGACTTTCGAGTACCATTGAAATCCAGTATCCAGGCCCTGACATGGAGCTTCTTATCAAGTATGATCCTTGTCCTGTTACTAATGCTATTATCCCAGTCTCTCCAATTCGGGGCGCCAGTTTTAGTATTTGGCCCCTTATCTTTACTTCCATATTGCACCTGATGCTTTTCCAGGTCTGGGATGGTATCTGTTGATCTTTTTTGTTTTTTATTCAATTCGTAGAATGTGTTTGTGATGAGAAAAGTTAGAGGGATTTGGCTAATGATGAACATTTGAGTTGAACAGCAAAACGATGGATTCAATGGTCATACAATGAACCCCTCAGGGACAAGGAATGCGAATAGTAGAATCTATTTTAGCTGACAATGCCCCAAGCTGTCGCCTAAGTCATTGGATCACATAGATATCTGACCTTTACTTCTTTAGGTCCGTTGATACGCTGAACTCCTGCTTTTATGCTGAGATGAGAACAAGAATCCCGGAGACCAATTCATGGGACTATAACTTTGAGCAGGCAGGAACCGCACCTCTCACTTTTACTGTAAAGGTAATCAATCAGTATTGTAACTCTGTCATCGTGGGTCCATGGATGTTGTATATCACTTTCCCTTCTAGCTGATTATCTATCTTAGTGCATGTTTGCTCTATGTGTCTTGCCGTTATCCTTTCATCTCTTAGTCCTCAGCACTGAAGGAAGCCATAGATGATCTTGAATGGCCGGGATCAAGCATTCAGCTCACCCTTCAACAGTCTCCCCCCTGTGTCACATTCAGAGGGGAAGGCCATGGAGATTTACAGGTCCCATTTCGCACCTTTTTTTTCTCCGGGCAAAGTATCATATATCTGTGAAAGAATCAACATAACTCACGTTCAAGATCTTTCCTTTATTTTTTTCTTCCTGCAGATAGACTTCATGTATTATGCCAACACGGATCTACTCCTTGCCTTCCATTGTGATTGCGATGTCTCTCACAGGTAACCACTAACTCTTTCAGTCATTAGATGTTGATCCTGGAAATCGAGAGTGGCATGTTCGTTAGGATTCCTTTTGGGGTAGAACTGCCCAAAAGGTGCTTTCGACTTAGTATCACACTCGTTGCATTGAGCTTTGTCTAAACCTGATATGAACAATTTGGTAAGGAGGATTGACCGGAGGCATTTTACTAATGAAGTGGGTTGAATATAGGTACAAATACAAGTTCCTCAAGGCAGTAACATCGAGTATTCCGGGGAGTGTCATCAAAGACAACAGAGGAAGCAAAGTAACAATAGGGAGAGGGGGAATGCTGAAAGTTCAGCACTTGGTTTCGGTTGCTAGACCGAACGTAGAGTCCACCAGATATCAGCCGCCGAGTCGGATTGCTTATATAGAGTTCTTCGTCAAACCTGAACAAGTTGGGGATGATGATTGATCGATCGATCACACACTCTCTCTCTCTGGGGTTCGGATGCATGTCGTTTTACTGTATTTAGCTTGGAAAAATCGTTTGCAAAGATGACGTCGGATTGCTTGTCGTTTCTCTGTTCTGGACTCCGATGTCTTGCCGGTTAAATGGATGATTAGGCAAAAAAAAAAAAAAAAAAAAAAGTAGGACCCTTAAGGATTCGGGAGATTGAACCCGACGTGAATCGAACACGCAACCTTCTGATCTGGAGTCAGACGCGCTACCATTGCGCCACGGATCCGATAGTGTTTTACTGGTAAGTTATTCTACATATATATATAGTCAAATTTTATCTCACTTATTACTTGTCCATGAAGGAATGGATGTGCTTCAAGTAGATTTCTCATTATGTCAAAGAGTGGTTGGACCTTTTCTTTTAACGCTACATAATTCAATTCCACATTCGCATTGAAAACTGAAAAGGACCAAACAAAATGGTCGTCTTTGTTTCTTCTATTAAATGTGGATTAATACAAACATTTATATCGGAGCGAAATTCAACCGTCGATATGACATGTGTATAAGCGAAATCAACTGTAGACGTTACATGTATATGTATACATACATATAGTTGTCTATGCAACTACAGGGAAGGAAATAATGGTAGACATAGAAAGTTTGCCCCACTCCGTGTTTCCTGCCAATAACTGGTGGTATGGGTTTTGAGTTGTGTCTTCAATCATTTAATTGGAATGACAACGTTTTATAATGGTGTCTTATACAATCCATACAAACGAAAACATTTCACATTGGCCAATCACCGTCTCGTTGTTGGGTTTTTATGCTCGTTCGTTGAATACGTAAAATATAACAAGGTCCATCACATACCATGCATGCACGGAGGGTATATCCAAAAATGAACATGCACGCAAATGAAGCAAATTAAATGTATTTTTACCAAAGCATCTCCTAATTAAGGAGAAGAATTGTAATTTAATCAGCGCGGTTAAAAAGTTAACCATGGTTTAGAAAAATGAGATTTTGAAGATGGATAACACTCTTCTTTAGTCAATAATAATAATCATCGCATTCTCTGCTTAAAACTCACTTAATCCCAATAATAGGGGAGAGGGAGAGGAGAGAGAGACATGATATGTGTTTCATTCTACAAAGACATCATGAGATTTGTTGCCTTTTTCTTCCTGTGTTAGAGAGAGAGAGAGAGAGAGAGAGAGAGAGAGAGAGAGAGAGAGGTTCATCATGTATTACTATCTAAACTGACTTTATCACAAAAAATATCTCTTTTTTAACATAAGCATGTGCAAATATATATATATATATATATATAACCAACGCACCAACTTTTTTATTTTGTCTCCCACCGAACGAAATGAAGTGACACAGAATTGGAACAGACTAGGAAAACAAAATCCAGATGGCTTTTTCTGAGAATCCGTCGGTAAATCAGAATACTCTCTTATAATATATAGTTTATAAGTTTTATGAAATCTGGCTTGTGTATCATTTGGTAACTAATTGCCATCTGTACTAAAATTACTTAATTAGTCATTAAAGCCGCAAGGCAGTAAACCTTGCCGAAAGGCAATAAAGAATCTTCCATAAATGTAAAATCTACGCCCAAATTCAATAAAAATAAATAAAGCAAGGGGAACTAAAAGGAAATCTTTTTTAGTATTTATTTATACAGAGTGCAGGAGAGAGAACAAATAGAACGATGGAAGAAAGAATCTTTTGAGCTCCCTCTCTCTCTCTCTCACTGGTCTCACTGTCAGAAACTCGAAAAGTAAGTTTTTTTCATCCATCTTCTTTGCATCTCTAAAATGGGTTCTCGTTTTCTCTTCTTCTTATCATTCCGCTGTAACTCGAAATCTCATGAAATTTCAGTAGAGCGACTGTTCTGTTTTTGCTTGAGCTTGTTGTTCTGTTCTTGTTCACGTGAGTGTACGAGTGCTGTCTTGCTCTATTTTCTCCCCGACATGTTCTGTGATTTAGAACTCTTTAATTAAATATTGGTTTATGGTGCATATCGATTATTTTGGTTGTATTTTTTTTGCTTTCCTTTAATTTTCCGGCAGGAATCTTTGTTTTTGGGGGTGTGCATATAAGCTGTTCGAGGTTTTCTCGGACTGAGTTGTGTGCATTTGGTGTTCTGGCTTCGCATTTAGCTTTCGTTGTTACTTTGTAAAAATCAATCATGCACATCTGCTTCAAAATATCTGACCGACAAGGGTTTTGTTCTGTTTAGATTTTTGAACGCTGCTACCGCTTAGAAGGAGGGGTTACACCTTAGGAAATGGCATCAAGATCGTATTCCAATCTCTTGGACCTTGCTTCGGGCGGCTCTCCTACAATTTCCCGTGAGAAGAAAAGGTTTCCACGAGTGGCAACTGTTCCAGGCGTCTTGTCTGAACTAGACAATGAGATCGGCAACGGTGCGGATTCTGATGCTCCGTCATCTGTCTTGCAAGAACGGTTGATCATCGTTGGGAACCAGCTTCCCATTAAAGCTCAGCAGAACTCTGATGGTAAATGGAATTTCAGCTGGGATAACAACTCTCTTCTTGTACAATTGAAAGATGGTGTTCGTGAAGACGTGGAAGTTATCTACATTGGTTGTCTTAAAGCAGAGATTGAGCCGATTGATCAAGACGATGTGGCTCAGAGGCTGCTTGAAAATTTCAAATGTGTTCCTGCCTATGTCCCTCCTGATCTCTTTGCCAAGTACTATCACGGGTTCTGTAAGCAGAGCTTGTGGCCTTTGTTTCATTACATGCTTCCTATAGTGCCCGATTATGGTATCAAGTTTGATCGTTCGTTATGGCAAGCTTATGTCTCTGTGAACAAGATATTTGCAGACAAAGTCATGGAGGTGATTAGTCCAGATGATGACTATGTCTGGGTCCATGATTACCATTTGATGGTTTTGCCCACTTTTCTAAGGAAGAGGTTTAATAGGGTCAAGCTGGGGTATTTCCTTCATAGCCCGTTTCCTTCATCTGAGGTTTTTCGTGCCCTTCCCGTGAGGATTGAGATATTACGAGCACTTCTCAACTCGGACCTGATCGGGTTTCACATCTTTGACTATGCAAGGCATTTCCTTTCTTGCTGCACCAGGATGCTCGGTTTGTCCTATCAGTCCAAACGAGGTACCCTCGGGCTTGAGTATTATGGTCGAGTAGTCAGCATAAAGATTATGGCTGTTGGGATTCATATTGGTCAGCTTCAGTCGGTATTGAATCTTCCAGAGACCCAGAGCATGGTTGCGCAGCTTCGAGATCAGTTCCAGGGTCGACAAGTCATGCTCGGAGTGGATGACATGGACGTTTTCAAAGGAATTAGCCTGAAACTCTTGGCAATGGAGCAGCTCCTCACCCAACATCCCAATAAGAGGGGTAGAGTTGTATTGGTCCAGATTGCAAACCCTGCAAGAAGCCGTGGGAGAAACATACAATGTGTTCAGTCCGAAACTTTCGCCGCAGTTAAAAAGATCAATGACATGTTTGGAAGGCCAGGGTACGAGCCTGTGGTTCTAGTGTACAAGCCACTCAAGTTCTTTGAACGGATTGCTTATTACGTTATTGCAGAGTGCTGCCTCGTCACAGCGCTGAGAGACGGTATGAATCTTATACCTTATGAGTATGTTACATGTAGGCAAAGCACCCAAATGCTGGATGAAATCTTAGGCCTAAACCCATCAACAGCAAAGAAGAGCATGCTCGTAGTATCGGAGTTCATGGGGTGTTCTCCTTCCCTGAGTGGTGCAGTTCGAGTGAATCCATGGAGTATTGATTCTGTAACTGAAGCCATGGAGTATACCCTAACAGCTTCAGAAGCAGAGAAACAGCTCCGTCATGAGAGGCATTACAGATTCGTTAGCACTCATGACGTTGCTTACTGGGCACGCAGCTTTTTGCAGGATCTCGAAAGTGCTTGTGCTGATCACACGAGGAAAAAGTGCTGGGGAATAGGGTTTGGTTTAGGGTTTCGGGTTATTGCCCTTGACCCTAGTTTTAGAAAGCTTTCGGTTGAGCACATTGTCTCAGCTTACAAGAGAACCAAGAGCCGAGCTATTCTTGTGGATTATGACGGCACAATGGTGGAGGCAGGGTCCATCGATTCGAAGCCAAGCCGACAGACAATTGAGACATTGAACAGTCTGTGCAGAGATCCCAAGAACATCGTGTTCCTTGTCAGCGGAGAAGACAGAACCACACTGACGGAATGGTTCTCGGATTGTGATGGCCTCGGCTTGGCAGCAGAGCACGGTTACTTTATACGGTATGGATTTTTGTCTCTCCTTTGGCCTTTTGGTTTTGCTTCAGGTTTCTCTGAACACACAAAATAATATGATGAACCATTCAATAGGAATATCGTTCATTGGACCATTGAGAGGATTCGCCATGTTTTTTTTCTTTCTAGATTTTCAATCACGTCAATATTGAATACAAAAAGTCGTTTTCAAGAATAAAAACACTAGAGTAGATCATGTTCATGCATAGATATGGAATGGAACTATCTTTGGGATAAAAAAGTTTCGATCTTTTGAATCCGTTCTCATATGGGGCAAGGCCAAATCAAGAAGCAGAGTGGGAAAGGACAATATCGGTGCCAAATTTTGAATGGAAGCAGATTGCAGAGCCGGTGGTGAGAGAGTACAAGAGGATGACAGATGGGTCAGGGATAGAGAGCAGAGAAAGCACTCTCGTCTGGGACTACCGATTCGCAGATCCTGATCTGGGGCCATCACAAGCCAAAGAGCTTATGAAACACCTCACGGGCTTGCTTGCAAAAGATGGTGTCTCCATCAAGAACAGCCGACAAACAGTGGAAGTTAGACCAAAGGTCAGCGCTCTCTCTCTCTCACGCCTTAATTTCATCCCATTGGCCGCCATGAAGGAAACTGATAAGAACATGGCGATGATGATGATGTGAAAATGCAGGGAGTGAACAAAGGGTTGGTGGCGGAGAGGCTTTTGGCAGCAATGCAGGAGAGAGGGGAGACGGTGGACTTTGTTCTGTGCATAGGAGACGACAGCTCGGACGAGGAGATGTTTGAGGTAATAACGGCAGGGAAGGATGGCCACTCCTTGTCGGATGCGGCTGAGATATTCGCATGCACCGTCGGACAGAAGCCCACCTCCGCCACCTTTTACTTGGACGACTCCTTCGACATCCCCAAGATCTTCCATGCCCTCGCTTCCTCCTCCAACCAAGATTCCGCCTCCTAGATTTGCCATCCATCTCTCTCTCTCTCTCTCTCTCTCTCTCTCTCTATATATATATATATATATATATATATATATATATGCGTGTGTGTGTGTGTGTAATGTAGGGTTTGTGAACCATCCAATAATTTTGGGACTTGGCCAAAGACTTATATGTATCGGGTTAGTTAATATAGAAGTAATTAACAATTTGTGGAGTGGTAATGTTATAATCCGATTCCTATTCACCGTCATGATGTCTTTTTGTATGGTTTGATGCATGTTTTTATGTTCTTTAAAATGTGTTAATGAATATATAGGTAAACTAATCAAGTTATTCGAACGTAGTGACTACGCATTTCCGTACGCAATACGCACATGCATATACATATATGCATATAATATTCGTTTGCCATGGAAGGACTATGCAAATTATTTGAGATAGAATTTTCTATCAACAACAAATATTCTCTGTAATTGTTACCATTTAATCATATCTTTTGTTTTGGTTATATATGTCTGTATAGATAGCTATATGTACCTAATTTTCATGTGCGTTGAATAATATCATGATCATGTACAACGGTCAACGGCTCAAGTCTAAGACGCAAGGATCTATAACCTAACGGCGATCAACAGCACTAACTATAACTTTTTGACTTTCAAATGATCCGATATTTGCAGTAATCATACACCATTTATTTTTTTTTTCAAGATTTTTCACTATTATTGTTATAAATGATGGTGGCCACATTATCATACCTATTATACTATACTATATATATATTCTTCAACATATTTCTTCTCTTATATATTTTTTCTCATGCGTACACTTGGAGAACTAGCGTTGACTTTGATTATCAAAATTCCCTTCATCATATATATATATATATAAAGAAAATAAGTTGATAGTAAATACAGTTACAATTTAAAAAAATAATACTAATAATAAAAATTACAAGGATTTCTTTTACACAAACAAACTAATTAATTTTTTACGACCAACAAATTCGCCTAGTAGGAAAAAAAGTATTATCTTGTGAAAGAAAAAACCAATTGTCCGTTTGTGTATGTGTATTCTTTTTATAAGACTGAACATATAATATATGAAATTGCATTTATAATAACAAATGATCCACAGGAAAATGTTGCTCTCTACCATGCGACAGGAGGCGAATTTGGGGACGTCAAGCTGCAAAATAATCAGAAAACCGCATGCCAAAATCATATTTTATAGAAAACATGTAATAATATAAACATGTTCACGTATATTTGAAAAAGAGAACTCTTACTCTAAGAAGCTTTTCCAGCAAGAATCACGTGTTTCATCATCGAGGAGCTTCTCCCAAGCCTCGAAGGCATCTGGACCGGATGAGAGTTGAGTTGTCTCGGTTTGGTTCAAACCGGCTGTCTCGGGAGAACCCGAAACCGAGGATTGAGCTTCACCAAATTGAACATAAGCATAGAAACCCGGTTCAATACATCTTCCGGTCTGATCATCTCCCGTGGTGGTAACCGGTTTGGTAATTGAGTTCTCTTGAGAAATCGAAACCAAATCGGGAAGCCAGTTTTCTTCAAGGATGTCCCAAGAGCCGCTGGTTCCCATTGGTTCAGTCCGGTTAGGGTTGGTTCCACAAAGATTTCCAAGTGATGACCTCAGTTTCATGTTGTTTTGAGGGGTAATTCCAATAGGGTTAGTGAAAATTTGCGGATCAACGGTTTTTGATGGCCCCTCAGCTGGTTTAGGTTTAAGGTTTATAGCATTGGTGTTGAGGCTACCGATGTTTGATAAGGGTTTAGGGTTCAAAATCTGAAGAATGTTGTGAATCAATTGGACTTTGAGGAGATCTTCCAAAGCATTGTTATTGGCGAAGAGAGTGTTGTCGGATAATTGGCGGTTGGTGGCTGCGAGTAGCTGAGAGAAGCCGAGGATTTGGTTGAGGTCTGTTCTTGGCTTGTGAGTGTTTGGATCAATCCCCATTTGCAACAGCTTTTTCCTCATGTGCGTGTTCCAGTAGTTCTTGATCTCGTTATCCGTTCTTCCCGGAAGGTGGCTCGCAATCTTCGACCATCTGTACCATAATAACGAAATGTTCGTTTCGATTTTTCTATTGGCCAACCATGCTAACAAGCATATATACTATGTAGTTTTACATTATTTATCAAACCATAGAACTAAAAGGATGCAAACACTAAATATCTTTCACAGTCAACTAACAATTGAAAACAGTTAGCAAGAAATTGACTCTTATGAGAACCATTTACTACTAACCATACGTCCGTGCCCCATATTGAGATTGCTAAGAACCGATACCAGATAACCAAAAGTTTTTTTTGTTGGTAACCAGGTATCATATGTCGAGATCTATACTGTGAAATGGCAACTCAGCAAATACTCTGAGGAAACCAGAAGGTTAGAATTGAGTTTTTGAAACTCAGATAACCGGGAATAAACCGAGAGATAACCAGGCCCAAAACCAGGAGTTAATGAAACGCAGTGTTTTGAGCTGAAAAGGAGTACACGAGAGACACGTCAGAGGAAGAGTAGTTGGTGGGCTGTTAAAAGCAGGTGTTCGTCGCAGAAGAACAGAGAATCATCTTTTCATTCTCTCTCTCTCTCCTCTCCAAGTTGTAATCGGTTCTCAATCTTTGTAACCCAAGATCATAGTGGATTGTCGAGTTTTGTTCTCGGCCGAGACGTAGGATTCACATTGAATCTGAACTCGTAAAAGATTCTTGTGTCTTGCATTCGAATTCTTTCTCGTGGTGAGTTCTCGTCGTTCGTCGGGTTTCAGCAATTGGATCGAAGATCATCGGACTACAGGTGGTATCAGAGCGCCTGGTTGAGGACAGGGAGGGTTCTTCGTAAGCAAGATTTCTCAGGAAAAGTCCAAACCAGGAATCTTATCCAACTTGCAGAGGGATCAGTTCTGTGGAATCAAGTAGTAGAGATGGCATCGACACCAGTTGTGGTCAAACTTGATGTTGAGAAGTATGATGGGAAAGGGGATTTCACTCTTTGGAAGCTGAAGATACAGGCAAGTCTGGAAATCTTTGGACTTCATGATGTGCTAGAGGAAAAATATCTCTTGCAGGGAAAACATCAAGAAGGGGCAAAAGGGGCTGGAATCAAATCAGATGATTCTGAAAAACCAGAAAAGAAGGAGGAGGACGAAACTTCTGCGATGTATTCGACTAGACTCGGAAGAAGCAGGAAAGTGCGAAACTTGATTCTGCTTTGTCTAACAGATCAAGTGATGCGGAAGGTAAAGGATGAAGAGACTGCAGCTGGAATCTGGAAGGCATTAGAGAGGGAATATATTCACAAATCAATGCCGAACAGAATGTACTTGAAGCAAAAATTGAGTATGTTCAAGATGGAAGAAAGCAAATCCATGGAAGAAAATGTTGACAACTTCAGAAAGCTAATCACTGATCTTGGAAATCTAGGAGTTGACATCTCTGAAGAAGATCAGGTGATGCACGTTTTGAACTCCTTGCCTGACAGGTATGAATCTCTGAGAGATACACTGAAATATGCAAGACCAGATGGGATTAATCTGGAAGATGTCACTTCTGCAATTTACTCCAAAGAATTAGAGTTCAGTGCAAGGGGAAAGACAGGAAATGCTGAGGGTCTCCTGGTAAAAGGGAAAGCTGACAAGAAACAAAACAAAGGTCAGAAACAGAAGCATCATAAGTCGAAACCCAAGCCAAAAACAGAATCTGGCTGCTGGTTCTGTGGAAAAGAAGGACATTTTAAAAAGGATTGCAGAAATAGAAAAAGGTTTCTCGAAGAACAAGGGAAGGGGTCTGGAGATGTAGCAGCAGTTGCGGGAGGGGAACTTGAATCAGAAGTTCTTGCAGTCACGGATCAGAATCCATCAGACCAATGGATTCTTGATTCAGGTTGCACGTTTCACATGTCACCAAGGAAAGACTGGTTTCAGGATCTTCAAGAAATAGAAGGTGGAATGGTGATGATGGGAAATAGTGGCACTTGCCAAATCAGAGGTATAGGAGAGATCAAGTTAAAACTGACTGATGGATCAATAAAGATTCTCTCCAAAGTACGCTATATTCCAGATCTGCAGAGAAATTTGATCTCCTTAGGATCACTAGACAAGCAAGGTCTAAACTTCAGGTCTGAAGCAGGAAGACTAGAAGTATTCAAGGGAGACAAACTGGTCTTGACAGGAAGTTTGCAAGGTGGATTATACGTGCTGGATGGATCAACTTTTGAAGCTGAAGTTCAAGTGGCTGAAAGAAAAGATGAGTCAGTACTTTGGCATAGAAGGCTCGGTCATATGAGCAATCAAGGCTTAAAGCTACTAACTCAAAGGGGCCTGTTAGATAAGAAAACAATAAAAGAAGTAAGTTTCTGTGAGGACTGCATTCTCGGGAAGACTCATAAGACAAAATTCCCAAAAGGAAAACATGTTTCAGAAGCAATACTTGACTACGTGCACTCAGACCTATGGGGCTCGTCATCAGTAGCCTTATCTCTAGGTGGAGCTCAGTACTTTATCTCATTCATCGATGACCATTCTCGAAGAGTATGGATATATCTGCTGAAGAAGAAAGACGAGGCATTTCAGAAATTTGTAGAATGGAAGAAGATGGTTGAAACTCAAACCGAAAGAAAGGTAAAACACTTAAGAACTGACAATGGTCTTGAGTTTTGTAATTACAGATTCGACAAATTCTGCAAAGAAAATGGAATTGTGCGCCATCGAACATGCACCTATACACCACAACAAAACGGTGTGGCGGAAAGGATGAACCGCACCATCATGAACAAGGTAAGATGTATGCTAAGTGACTCAGGTCTTGATCAGAAATTCTGGGGTGAAGCTGCATCAACAGCGGTGTATTTGATCAACAAATCACCATCCAGTGCAGTAGAATTTAAAATACCAGAAGAAATTTGGTATGGGAGAAAGGTTGCTCTAGAACATCTGAGAAGATTCGGAGCCTTGGCATACATGCATACTAGTCAAGGAAAGTTGCTACCAAGAGCAAAAAGGGCGGTGTTTATTGGCTATCCACAAGGAGTGAAGGGCTATAGAGTATGGCTATTAGATGAGGAAAAGGTTCTGATCAGCAGAGATGTAATATTCAAGGAAGATTTGGTTTACAAGCAGTTGAAGTCATCTATTCAGACTGCCAGAAATCCTGAAAATCTGAATAGAAGAACAACAACTTTTGATATCTCAGATCAAGATTTCAGAATTGATCAAAACCAAAGTCATGATATGAACCCAGTTTTAGGTGGAGCATTGTCACGGGAACAGGAAGATCAAGATTCTGATGAAACAGAGTCAGAGGAGCAGAATGTATCAACACAAGAAACTGAAACAGAACAGCAGGTCGAACAAGAAATAAGTGGTACTCAAAGTCCAGACTTACAAAATTACCAGTTGGCTCGAGATAGGCAAAGAAGGGAGATACAGCCACCACTACGTTACAGGGATGGTGACTCAGCAGCTTTTGCACTTACAGTAGCCAAAGAGTTGGACTTAGAAGAACCAAGGGATTATCTACAGGCATTAAAAACAAAAGAAAAGGAACATTGGTTAAGGGCCATGAAAGAAGAAATGAGGTCGCTACAGGAAAACCAAACATGGATATTAGTGGACAGACCAAGAGATCAGAAAGTGATAGGCTGCAAATGGGTTTTCAAACACAAACCTGGTATTCCCGGAGTGGAGAACCCAAGATTCAAGGCCAGATTAGTCGCAAAGGGCTATTCACAAGTTGAGGGCATATATAGATTATCATGAAATCTATGCTCCGGTGGTTAAACACGTATCCATTAGAGTACTTTTGGCTCTAGTGGTATTCAAAGACTTAGAACTGGAACAGCTCGACGTAAAAACGGCTTTCTTGCACGGAGATTTAGATGAAAGGATTCTCATGGAACAACCAGAAGGTTTTAAAACTCGAGGAAATGCAGAAAAAGTCTGTCTACTAAGGAAGTCTTTGTATGGTTTGAAACAGTCTCCTAGACAATGGAATTTGAAGTTTGATACCTTCATGATACAAAAGGAGTTTCAGCGAAGCAAATACGATCAATGCGTATATTACAAGGAGGTAAAAGAAGGCTCATTCATATACCTCCTAATATATGTTGATGACATGCTTATTGCAGCAGAAGACAAGTCTGAGATTCAGAAACTCAAGGAGCTACTGGGAAAACAGTTTGAAATGAAGGATTTGGGAGAGGCACGACGCATTCTTGGCATGGATATACACAGGGACAGGAAGAAAAGGCTCTTAACTCTATCTCAGCAAGATTATCTACAGAAAGTACTATCAGTTTTCAGAATGACAGATGCAAAGACTGTTAATACATCAATGGGAGTGCATTTTCGTCTAAAGGCAATCGAAAAAGAAGAAGACAGGTTAGATTTGGAAACAACCCCTTATCTAAACGCTGTTGGAAGTCTGATGTATGGAATGATCGGGACCAGACCAGACTTAGCCTACTGTGTTGGTTTAGTGAGCCGTTTTATGAGCAACCCAGGCAAGGAGCATTGGTCAGCTGTAAAATGGATCATGAGATACATCAAAGGCAGTCTGGATTTACGATTGAAATACACGAAAGAGAGCAGTTTTCAGATTGAAGGCTTCTGTGATTCGGATTATGCTTCAGACTTAGATAGGAGAAGATCAATAACTGGCTATGTTTTCACGATTGGTGGAAATACAATCAGTTGGCGTTCTGGACTTCAACATGTGGTAGCTCTATCTACAACTGAAGCCGAATATATGGCATTAGCAGAAGCATTCAAGGAAGCTTTGTGGCTAAAAGGATTGGTGACTGAACTTGGAATTCGACAAGATATTGTTAACATTCACTGCGACTCTCAAAGTGCGATATGCCTCGCGAAGAACAACATACATCATGAAAGAACTAAACATATAGACATTCGACTGCACTTTCTGCGAGATATAGTAGCTGAGCATAAGATCAGAGTCTGTAAAATCAGAACAGAGGACAATCCAGCAGATATATTAACCAAGACTCTCCCAGTGAGTAAGTTCAAGCAAGCACTGAGCTTACTCAAGGTCACAGGTGAAGGTTAGTGACAAACACACCGAGAACAGAACAGGGAAACAATCCACGAAGAAATAGCTAAGTTGCCAAGGTGGAGATTGTGAAATGGCAACTCAGCAAATACTCTGAGGAAACCAGAAGGTTAGAATTGAGTTTTTGAAACTCAGATAACCGGGAATAAACCGAGAGATAACCAGGCCCAAAACCAGGAGTTAATGAAACGCAGTGTTTTGAGCTGAAAAGGAGTACACGAGAGACACGTCAGAGGAAGAGTAGTTGGTGGGCTGTTAAAAGCAGGTGTTCGTCGCAGAAGAACAGAGAATCATCTTTTCATTCTCTCTCTCTCTCCTCTCCAAGTTGTAATCGGTTCTCAATCTTTGTAACCCAAGATCATAGTGGATTGTCGAGTTTTGTTCTCGGCCGAGACGTAGGATTCACATTGAATCTGAACTCGTAAAAGATTCTTGTGTCTTGCATTCGAATTCTTTCTCGTGGTGAGTTCTCGTCGTTCGTCGGGTTTCAGCAATTGGATCGAAGATCATCGGACTACATATACTAATCCCGAATCCGGGATCAAATCATGTGATTGGAATTACGTTTCCCTCCCCAATTTGAGATTCGAACTCGCGACGGGTATACGTTTTGTATTCCCGTTTCACCGGTTGATCTATCCAAATTGGGTTAGATAACCAAAAGTTGATGACTTATAACTAGTTGGATAACAGTAATTAAAAACAGTATTATATATATATATCATCGAAACGAAGAAAAAGAAAAGCTCAGGACAAATAGAGGCATGTACTTGTTGCCGAGAACGGAGTGGAGATTAACGATGAGGCTCTCTTCGTCGTGGGAGAAGTTGCCTCGCCGGATCTCAGGCCGGAGATAATTCATCCATCGGAGACGGCAGCTCTTCCCGCAGCGGTTTAGTCCGGAGAACTTCGGCAGCGACCGCCAGTTCCCGAACCCATTCTTACTTATGTATTCCCTCAGCTTCTGGTCTTCCTCCGGCGTCCATGGCCCTTTCTTCACCCCTTTCCCCTCTTCACAACACGGTGAACGTACCATGTTTGTTCTCGATATTTACTTTTATTCAAATTCTATATAGATTGAAAAAATATAACCGAAGGAGGAGGAGATTTCGAAGTGTTTTTTTTATATGTTTTTGTGTTATGGGTTTTAGTTGTTTTCGTGGGTTCGTATTATATATAGACGCCAGATGGACACATAAAGACAACGTCGACACGTATACGTGCATGGTTCGCCAGAATTTGTACGGTCACGTCAGCGTATAATATAAACATATATTTTTTTTCTATCGGTATTATATGTTTCAAAGAAGAGATACATAAATTTTTACAATTACATCACACGAAATCCGACATTCAAGGAAATCACTAGATTTGTCTCGATTATATATATATTCATTTATCAAGTCAAAGCCGGTTCGTAGTCCATGCCCTAATTTGGATCGACACAAAAACAGAAGTTTAGTGCAATTATCATAAACCGCTTATAAAAAAGTGTAACCAATGATTTCGTTATACGATGCTTAAAATTTTATACCGATCAATAAGATCAAAAAGGAAAGTTGGAGTGGGAAAAGAGATTAGAACAATAAATTTGGAATTCTGTAATTTCCATTTCTGACAAATAAATTAAACATCTATATACACACACAGACGCATATGTATGTATATGGACATAGGTATATGCGTATACTTTTTGTTGGTCCATACATGCATAGATTATCAATTAATCTTTGCATTGGATTCTGCTAAATTATGTTCTCATTGCAATCTTCATCAAAATTGTCACCTTCTATTTATCACGACATGGTGTATGGTCTTGTGTGCCACATTCAATGAAGTCTCTACCTGCTTCAATGTCTCATGGCTGAGATATTCAAGCAACTCTTCTTCAATTCCTTTTTTTCCTTTTCCTTATAATTAAATCTTTTTTTTCCTAAGCCACGTTGAATTCAAACTTGTACTATTCTCCTGATCACGAATCATTCCTTCTGCGTAATACGAAATTGGGATGCTATTTAATGTAGGTTAATTATTATAATATGACGTTAGACTTTGGAAAAGTCCTATATAGTATGCACTACTGAATCTTTGAAGAGTTCACAACAATGAGAACTACAAAGATCGTTTACGACAAAACAGAAGATACATGGGACGAAGTTTCCTTCGAGTTACATTACTTTGCTTACCGCTTGATTACACATCTCTCCGCGTTCAAATTAGCGTATGCCATTTCCAAAATATAGCTTATAGTATAATTACTTTTGGGTAAATTTTCAAAAAAATATATTAAACTTTTCAATTTTGACAAAAAACACTGAACTCTAATTTTTGTAAAATAAACATTAAACTTTTCAATTTTGACAAAAAACACTGAAATATAATTTTTGTAAAATACACATTAAACTTTTCAAACAAATTTAAAAAAACCCTAAACTTTTTAAATGATTCAAAAAATACATGAACTTTTCTGCGATTATCAAAAAACACTGAATTTTTTTAGTGATCCAAAAAAATACATGAACTTTCTTCGATGATAAAAAAAACAAGTAAAATAATTTGATGTATTTGCATCTCTTTGTGTCATATCAGTCATTTTGTTTATTTTGACAATCATAATAGAGTTAAGTATTGTTTGTTTTATCAAATTTAAAAAGTTTAATGTTTATTTGATAAAATAGAAAGTTGAGTATTTTTTGTCAAAATTTGAAAGTTTAGTGTGTTTTTTTATTTCCTTGACGGGTTATTTTATGTGAAGAAATATATATAATGGGTCCATATCTATATGCTTGTTTCCTATTGGTAGAAATAATTATTGAACACAATATATAATATGTTTTGTATGAACTCGTAAGTTCAATGTGATACATAATATTGTCAACACCGTCAAGATAATTAAATTTCCAACAAATTTTCTAACGGCTCTTATATCATTTTCTTGTGAAGAAAGAAATCCGGCAGATCGATCCAGAATGATATTCAATTTTTTAGTATAATCAAATCAAACATTACTCCATTGGATAATCTGAAAATAATTGAATAAGACTAATTAATGTCTCGACCAATTTCTTTTTGTCCCTTCCGTCTTAAAGGCAACTTCTTTGAAGGTGTCTCTTGCAAGACAAATGTGTTTGGTTATTTTCCAACACAAGAAGGAAATATTTGTTGTTAATTCGTTATGACAAGTTGTCGCAGTTAGGTGACACCTTGATAACGTTATTATATGTATGTCTATTTCAGGACCGTATGCTAGAGTCTGTTTGGACCATATTGACTAATGAGAATTGCTGCTTTATGGATACGTTTGCACACATATAAATATATGGTTTTGAGGTGTGCCGCTTATGGAAATTAAAATAAAAGTTTTATGAATAATTACGTATATTTTGATATATATATATATATATATATATATATATAATATTCTTTCATTAGCTTTCGTTGTATCACATTCAATTATTCAAGATGTCTTTTGATCATTTGTGGTCTTTAGAAGAAAAAAAAATGGCGGTCAAAGCAGTCAAAACATGCCGTTCGCAGCCATCTAATCCGCAACTGTTGATGTTAAAAACATCATTAATTTGGCTGATGCATGGATCACTGTCATATCATGAAGAATGCGTGTATATATATATATATATATATATAGTTTTCGAAATTATTTTTACCAATTAATGTCATAAAGCATGTTGTGAAAGCTGCTGCTTCATTTCGCTTAGGATACGGAATATCTATGTGCATTGTGATTTCAGAATAATATTTATTTATGTAATCTTTTCTTTTTACGTAAATAAATATAATAAGCGGTGGGTCTGGTTATGTTCCCGCTACATCTTTCAATTTGTTGTATCGTTTTCTTAACAATATGTCTTATGCGTATATATATAAATTTTACCCTCTTAAGAATGACATGATTTCTGCGAGTATATGTATAATTTCCGAGTATGAAGAAGCTTTGTGTAACGAGAAAGAGACGCTCTCAAATCTAATAACAAGCACTGCTACTAATATAAATTAAGATAATATTAATTATAAAATAATCACGATTCAATACTCTGATCGAGGAGCTAGTAGTTTCTTTTGAATGGTCAATGTGATCTATAAAGCGAATTTCGATTCAGATGAAAATGTAAGTAACATGGCGATGGTGATTATCATGATGATGATGGGCCATGCATGGCCCTCCTTTTGTCTTCTCTTTAATTTGATCAAAACTGTTTAAATGAATCAAAAGTAACCCTATAAGGGTTTTTGCATGCTATGTCTCTCTTTCTAGAACCACAAATGGATCTGAACATATATATATATATATATATATATTCTAGACACATGTATACGTACAGAAGGAATATTTTGAATTCTAGAGTGGTGAAAAAAATATAGTGACAATATATATACACGATTACCACTATTTTTAACCTTTGAAAACTCTCTGCATAGATTCAGTGATGATGGTTTGCAATTTAATATTTTATAATTTGCAAGTTACGACTATTGTAGTTTGGAAAATTCAGCAAGATCTCCTTTCTTTATTTCGTTGATTTATTTGGATTTTTATATTGTTGTCCTGCCTTTGCTTTTTCTTTCATGGGATTTTAAAGTTTCAAAAACTGTAATTTAAAAAAAAAATGTGTAAATGGGTCCTTTTTCTCTATTTTTGTTTCTTTTCTTCCCTATCAAACCTCAATCTTTTTTTTTTCTTTTTGGAAAGAACATTTGTCTCCTCTATATATATATATTTGCAAGACCATTCATTCGTAACCCTAAACTCCATGATTCTTTTCTTAGTATCCATATATTTTTTCTCCTAAATATCAAATTCCAAGATCGATATTCAAGACAATCAAGATTCAGGTTAAGATTATTTAGTACATATGTGTGTGTTTGAAAATGTGCTTGTATATATGTATACATATGGTCATGCCTGGCTCCCTGTATGCCACAAGCGAACACCGATTTGATTGGGAAATCGGCCATCGCTGGTGGCGTACGAGGAGCCAAGCATGACCAAACCTTCACTCCATATGCAATCTCTCGTGTCTCTGTATATACACGAATACACACGTAGATTATTGTACATATGTTTTGAAATCTGTATATATATATATATGTGTGTGTTTGTGTGTCTTAATTGCTTGCTGATCTGTTTGTTCTTTGTTATACACTATTCCTTGTGGCTTTTCGATATATAGTTGTTGTCTCTCTCTGTGATTCATTTAATTCGATGATTTCCGAATGTATGTATACCATGTTAAGAACACGTTCATTTAACTTTAAACTTATTTATTTTGATTTCTTGTGCATTTTTTTATTTGTACGATATTTTTTACGGCAGCAGACGAAAGTTTTTGGTTCTCTTTGGAAAATTTTCCGACGGCCCGATGCCAAAAACCAACTCGAAGAATATGTGAAGAATAAAATGATACAGATGGACATTATATTAAATTTCATAATTATTATTCTGGGTTTTAGACCCTGTAATCACGGAGTGTATCCAGTACGACCGCACTCACGATGGTGGTGGACTGGTGGAAAAGATATATCATGATTTGTTATTAAACTTAAATATGGTTGTATATATAACGAAGCCTCGAGATGAGAAAGAGGATATTACTTTTTAGCAAAACTTCGGTTTGATGTAGAGGGACTTGACTTCGTCAAACTCAAACCAACCGAGTGAAAGAGAAAAGGTGACACATATGATGGGCCTGAAGCCTGAAGGTCGTCGTGGAGTTGAGCAAAACCATTCATGTCAATCTCTGCGTAAGCTCGAGGTTCAATTTTTGGGTATGAAACTGACGTTACATGTTAACCAAGTCTCAGACCTCAACCTTTTTCTAATGATCGTTAATTGATTAGGATGATATAATAATATTGTTTTGCGGTATTATCGTATTAAATGTTACCTGCTTTAATAATCACTAATTAGGGAAATTTCGTTCTATTCTTTTATAAACAATAGAAGACGTGTACTAATTTGTCTCACCCCTCCCTACACTTGGCCCGCTTCCATACTCGAGCTAGAGAGCATGCAATTCTTATTTTTATTTTTTATTTGCATTCTTTGGTTTCCTTATGATGTTCCACGTTGGAACCTCGACATCATCGACCTATAGCTTGAATGAGCTTGGTCCATATTCAAAGTGTTGTACATGGAAAGCGTGTAAAACATGATTGTGTGTGTTATGGTGATTCAAATATTCAATTAAACATGATCGGTATTAAGTTAGGTCATAATTGGCTATATTGTTTGTGGTCAATTTAGTTGTAGAGTAATTAATTTTTAAAGTTAAATGTTTTAATTAAAAAATCAGATATAAACCAAAAAAAATGGATTTAACAACTGTAATTAAAACTCGATAAATAAAATCAATATCAATCAGTACCTATATAATATCATTTTCTATTGATTTATTTAAATATATGTATTTGTCGTAGAGTGGTAGAGGCAATTATAAGGTCACATGATATGGACCGTTTAAGCGTGTCATGTGCCACACTCGGTGGCGAAGCACAAACTCTAAATCGAAGCTCGATAGTCGATACAGATTTTGGACCGAATTCATAATAAAACACGCTCCACAAGATTATTCTAGAAACAATTTTATATATATATCGACTAATCTCCTTTAGCTTCACATAATAAGTGCGGAATTAATGACAATTAAAACAAATATCAATTTAAAGAATAAAAAGGGAATGGTGAGACCGCTACAAAATATAAAAACGAATAAACAATAAATTTTGGAATTTTAAAATCTTTCTTCAATCATTCAAAATGAAATACTTGTATTACATATATATGTGATCTCTCGCTTAATTTAAGTGAGGATCAATTATTACGGGATTTTTCAGTTCATATAAATATTCATTTATGCGTTATTTTTAAATTAATTATTCTTTTCATTTTTTTTATCTATTTGTTACATCGTACTTTTTAAAAACAACTATTAACTACAATTTATTAATTTCATCTGGAAAATTAGAAATAGCTGTTTCATAAGTTTGTATTATACGTATCATGTCTATAGGACGTAACATGTTTCGTGTAATTTTCTATATCAAAAGTATGCATATTTAATTTCTACGTTAAGTATATCTACAATAATACTACTATTTATTAGTGGTTTCCCACACCATTGGTATAGCAAATTCATTGCTTGACGAAATCTATTTAATTATTTGATTGTTTATTCCTTCTCTGCCCCTTTATTTCCTAAATTATCTACATTTAGTCCCTCATATTTTGTCCTATTGCAATGCAGTTTCATAAAAAAAAAAACGTATCGACTTACAGTAAACATGTGCTTGCTTATTTATTTTGATATCGGATTAGTGACTGCTTTTCTAAAATCTTAGAATTATATTATAATCCATGACTAATCAAGTCGATACACCGAAAGCTGGGGCTAAATTACAAAGAAACAAAAAATACGAGGGCCACTAATAGTTCAATTTATATAGAAACAATTTCCTCCAAATTTAAATTCGAATATTCTTTATTTTCTTCTTCTCCTCCTCCTCCCCTTCTTCATTGCCATTCATAGATGAGGAGGGGAAGAGAGAGACAGAGAGAGGTGTCTATGTGAGAAAAAGCAAAGCTCTTCATATACCTTTTTCGCTCTCTCTCTCCATTTTCCGACCCGATAGAACAGGGGAGAAGACAGAGATGGTGGGAGAAGGAGAGACAAGCGGCGGAGCTCCGGCGATTTCAGCGGCGGCGGAGGAGGAGATGAAGGTGGTCGGATCGAGATATCCTCTGAGCTTTTGGGAGGTAACGGCGGCTTCCGGCGTTGTGTTAGGGTTCCTGGTGGGCCTTGTTTGCGTTTATCTCACCATGCCAGATTCTGATTACAGTTTCCTCAAGCTTCCTCGGAATCTCGAGGACCTTCAGATCCTTAGGTAACATTTCTTTTTATATTTTTATCTGGGTTCCTTGGTGAAGGCTTGATTTTGATTCCGGAGAAAATGCGGAATCCAGATTCAGAATTCTGGAAATTTTATGTTGGAAGGAAGGCAAGCTCGTATTAGGGATGACACAAATTCAATGGATTTGATAATCATGCTACTTAATTTCTTTTAAAACAGAAAGCTTTTATGCCTATTATCCAAAAACGCAGATGGCTTTGTGCGGAAATTTGGTTTAGGAGTAGAATTTGCAAGCGATCACTTTGCATTCTTGTTGCTTAGACGCATTGAAAAGAAGATTTTCACACTGCTAATGGAAAACGTTGTTTCCATCTCCTGTGATATTTCTTAAGGTTTTATCACTGTTTTTCTTTATTATGCCATGTAATTTGTAATAATGTGCGTGGATTTTGATGTATGGTTTTTGAACATGCATTGTCGCAGAGACAACCTGGAGAGCTATACAAGCGACTATACCATTCAGGTTCTTGTTGGGTATTGTCTGGTGTACATTTTTATGCAGACGTTCATGATCCCTGGAACTGTGTTCATGTCATTGCTCGCCGGTGCCCTTTTTGGAGTTTTCAAAGGCGTGGCTCTCGTCGTCTTCACTGCTACGGCTGGTGCTTCTTCTTGCTATTTCCTGTCAAAGCTTATTGGCAGACCTCTCGTCTTCTCTCTCTGGCCTGACAAGTTGGCCTTCTTCCAAAATCAGGTGAAGTTCTTAGTTCTGATTATGTGTCCACCGATTGAGCTGGGTATGAAGATTTATGTAATTTTGGTTCTGCAGATTGCGAGAAGAAAAGACCGGTTGTTGAACTACATGCTTTTCCTGAGGCTAACTCCGACCCTGCCAAACACTTTCATCAACGTTGCTTCCCCGATTGTCGATGTGCCTTACCATATCTTCTTCCTTGCCACTCTCATTGGACTGATTCCTGCCGCTTATGTCACTGTTCGGGTATCTATCTTCTTCCTTTGTGTTGTTGAATCAGATTATATGAAGCTGGAGTAATCAGAAGGACTGAAACTTTTTTCATTCACATTCATCTCTGATCACTTGCAGGCTGGGATTGCTCTCGGGGAGTTGCAGTCAATTGGGGATCTTTACAACTTCAGCTCGGTTGCGACTCTCTTCCTCATCGGCATTGTCTCCGTTACCCCAACCCTAATTAGCAAGAAAAAGCCGTAGCTTAAACTTCTAGACAGAAGATGGACAACAAAACTCATGCCCTCTTGTACATATCCTTAGAAACATCAAACCAGTGTTCTTGTGTCTCACCACCCAGTGGCATTTGTTTCCGACCCTGTTGTAGCTCTATGATGAAGAAGATCACCTATCATGTAAAAACCCAAAAAAAACCACAAACTTTTTGGTGATCCATGGCATTGTTTATAAAATTGCTGTATATGCCATAATAGCTTTAAGATGAAGATTACTGGCTATGTTCATCCAAAGATTTTTAAAAAATGCATACAAATACAAATTCTGACCTTCCAATAACACATTTCGGTCCGTTTATGACGACTGATTACCAAAATAGAACCGTAACGTTACACCTGTCCAGGCACATGATGTGAAAATGTATCCAAGGGGGGTGGTATGGTATGATTACCAAGAACGTGTCAGAAAAAGAACCTTTGCAGTCCATTCACTATTGGGCCGAGCTTGGACCATTAAGTGGGCCCATTATTAGGCTCAATCGTTGCCCCACATATAACACGGCATGTTATTTACTCCATATAAAGGGCCCATTAGTAGGCCCAAGCTATTTACTCCATATTTTCCGTCATAACAAAAATTATTTTTTTCACGCGTATACTTGATTATATATATATATATATATATATATATATATATATATATTGTGTGTGTGTGTCACATTTAAATTTGAATAATTCTGATCAAACTAAGGCCGTGACTCGGAATCAAACAAAAACGAGCCCACAAATTTATTCGTTAATACGCTAAAACAAAACGGATAATCTTTTTTTCTATAGATAAAATGACAACACATGTGAGCTTTGTATTATCCTGTTCTGTTATATGATATAAAGAATGATAGAGTATATTAGGTTACTAAATATTTAAGAATACAAAAGGGTTCGTGGGACGTCCGACGTTGTCTTCAGAACTGTTGTCGTTTTCTGTGATCCTTAATGACAACCAACCATAAACTAATCTCACCGAAATAAATTAATTAAGCCTATATATATATATATATAGTTTATTAATTTGGGTGGTTAATTAATAATTGAACAGAGCTCATGATTATCTAATTAAAATGACAGCTTTAAAGAATCTAATGCTGCAGGCATGGGTCATTAATAATGTCGATATACACACAGAGGCATGGGGTTGTCTTATGAACAGGTCAGCCAAATTCCAAAAAAGTTAGATTCGAATAGCTTAACGTTTCTTAATACATACAAATGCAACATCCACATAATGCGTGTATATGGATTATCATTAATATTACATTAAGATTTTCGAATTAGTATTTTTGGGTACTTATAATAAATTTTATTACCAGAGTATTCATAAATTTAAGCGAATCGAAAGGATTTTGACTCCGAGAAGATTACGTTGTGTATATCTATATAGTTATTTTCATGTAATATATGTATGTGTAATTAATAGCGAGTCATTTTACATATAGCCAATTAGTTTATTAGTAAAGGGAGTTATAAATGGGAAAACACACGCGCTCACACAATACGCAAACAAATCACTAGGCTCGACATATATAAGTGGATTTTCATACACACATATATATATATATATATACGTGTGATATATATGTATGCGTATAATGCTAGTTCAGCATGATACGTTTTTTCCAGAAGAGAGACCAAATAAGCTATAACATTCATTGTATATAAAAAAAACAATGATTGTGTTAATAATAATAATAATAATAATGATAATAATAATAATGATGATGATGATGAACTCTCTCAAAGAATATTTCCAAATAAAAAGCTCTAATTTATTTAATCAAAATAAACACACTTGTAGATAAGCACTACACAATTGTTTATTTGACATGTTAGCAATTGTTGCGCTCTGATTCCTATTCAACATTTGCAAAACCAATATAATTACAGGCTTTCATATTTATTTTAAATTTGCAAAATCTGATGAGATGATATCCCAGAAACATATATTAAAACTGTCTAAAAAATTATTGAAAAAACTGTTAAATCTATATTGTCATCAATGATCAATAAAACAACGGAAGATTGCACAATAACAGATAAATTGATATACAAATCTCCAATCTTGTATATACTATGAATGGACACCATCCTAAATTGTTCTTTTATTTAAACAGACCAAGGTGCTGCTGTATCTTACGTGACCCGTAAATATTGTTTTCCGTCGTTTACAGACATATATATACACATTAAGAAACTTGAGACCTAAAACATATGCCTGGTCACTCCAAGAGTTTTGGAGATGTTATTTAACCGTTCATTAAAATAGGGAAAAAGAAATTTGGAGAACCAACTAAATATGGAAATGAGCAAAACGTTACATTTCCTGATGGATATCAACAATGTTCACACACACACACACACACACACACACACACAGAGGTGTATACAAGTATATATGATGGATATCAAGTGGTCAAGGAGAGAAAATAGTGGAATGTATACTTACACACACGCATGTATACTCGTACATGTGAATTACACCTATAAGCGAGAGAGCAAGATTACCAAAAGGTGAAGAAGTTCAATTATAAAATCCTCAAGTTGTTCATGATTCGACACCTATGCACTCAATGTCACACACATATATTCATATATAGGACAAAAATATACGTTTGTACGGAGCCACAATCGACAAGAAGAATCTGAATTTAGGATCGCATTGACAATGTGTTAAATTAATCTACTGTCCGCATTTATTCTTTCCAAAAAACTATGCAAGAAGACCACGATCACACATAACTTCTGTCACCAAATCCCATAAGAAAATCAATAGAAAGAAAGGGGTTTTGTATTGATTTCAGAAAGCAAAACCCCTTTTGGTAATAATTTCACTGATCGGGTCGTATCTCATACATTCACAAACGCAAGCGCATGTGGACATATATATCTAAGGAACAATAATAATCTATAGTTTATCCATAAACCTTATAATATGACCTCTCAGTTGAATTATGCAATAATCAGTATATATGGGTACTAAATTTATCTTGTCAGTACCAATGTTAAGTAAAGATGATAGATGCTATGTGAATTGATTTCATCGGTGTACAAACAAGTACAAGGAAGACACAATCTTCACACAAGCTGTTCACATGACGAAGAAGAACAAAAGAGACATAAAATTCTACAAAGAAAACCTAAATGAACTAAAAGAGAACAACAACATGATGATGTCTCCAATTACGACGATGACATTAAAATTTATCAGCCCATTAATCAAAACATATTTCTCACCTTTTTCTCCACATTTCCGATCGCCGGAGACGCTCCTCCTCCTCCGTGGTATATATGTATGTAAATACACATACACATATATGTATATATACATCAAAAGGGAGGTCTTCCGCTGGGGTTTCCCGGCCAACCCTCCACCGGAAGTTGCACGCTCGGCGCCATATTCATGGGAAAATTTAAGAACGGAAGCCCTCCGCCGTCGGGGAAAACATTACCTCCTCCGTTGGCAGCTTCTCCGCCGCCTCCAAGAGCCTCGTCCTCTTCAAGAGGAAGCCTCTCATAGGCGACATTGGTGAAGGAAGCGGCCATGACGATGACCGGCCCAGCTGCTGTGAGTTCGCCAACGACGCTGCCGCCAACGATCTGACCTTGCCCTCCCGCCAGAAATATCGTCAAGCTGGTAGCTCCCGGCGGCGCCGGCGGGGGGAGGAACGAGCCAGAGAGGGAGAGGATCTCGAAGGTTCCCTGGAGAGTGACGACGCCCGCGGCGGAGGGCTGACGGATGGGGACGTTGGTGACGGAGCCACTGCC